TAAATATATATACTAATAGGCTCTAGTTTTATAGAGCTGTAAGTGTATGAAAAGATGCAGCCATTTAAAAGGGCCTGGATTTGCTTTATCTTGGCTTTATTATTCAGAAAAATGTTTAAACCGCTCTGTGTTCTCTTTTAAGAAACATCTCCAAGTTTGTTTTATTGCATGGCTGTTCTAAAAGGTGTTAAAGGCTTAGGCCAAACGTATCCTAAATATGTAGAAAGATGCTGCTGGTATTTGAGATGACAGAATATGTTATTCTGTCAGTTTAATTTTTTTAAATATGTAAAAAGCTGATATATCCCTCTCTACTGATGTAGCCAAGGTCATGAATAAAGCCTTTACTACTTGCACAAGAGTCATGTACACTAAGATGAATGTGATTTACTGTTGAAAGGAATTGGTGCCACTGTTCTGACTTATTGTAGGAGCTGAACAGAATATTTTAATTCATTTGAGCAGCATTGAAATTTGTTTACATATTACCTTGGGTTATTACCACAGGGATGCTAGGTAATCTTCAGAGAAAAAATAATAATAAAAGAAAATATTACACATTCTCTCCTTGGTCTGGTGTCTTAAGAGGTTTCTTTTCTGTTTGGGTTTTTGTTTGTTTCCCCTTTCAATCCCTGATGTCCTTTTTACATCTTTGTAGAGTATATTAATGTAAACTGAGCTATAAGGGTATACAAAAGGTAATGTGAACTTTGCTGCTGTGTTCATGTTCCATTTCAGTTATTGGATCTAGTAAACCCAAATAAAATGAAAGTTACATAATCTTTGCACAGATAAAAATATTCTTGAGTATTAAATACTCTCATTCCTCTTAAGTTCTTACGGAAATTCAGATGTACTTGAATTACATAAGTATGTCCAAAACCTGTCATTCTTTCATGTAGATCAAGTTTGTCCTAAGTGCGTAATGATATAAAGCCATTTTAAAAATCAGTTTTATTGGTATTTAGGACATTTGCTTAACTGCAAAGATGTGTTTTAAAAATAAATTTAAATTTGACGCCTTATTCATGTGAATTATATTAAATGCTACTTTTAGCAAACCATGGTTCCTTATTATAGAGTAAAAAATATTTCAAATTACCATTGTATTATGCTTTAAATATTAACTGTAAATTCCATTACATTTAAATTATACAGAATTTTGTACACACGATTTCTTAGAATATGAATAAAAACACTTCTGTAACATATCATATTGCACTGTTAAAAGTGTACATGCAGAAAAAATAGCTGTATCTGTTCATGTATCTCTCCAATACAGCGACTGAATTCTGCCCAAATTTTATTTTTCTACATATCGGATTCTCTTGAGTCTTTGTATTCACTATGCACAGCTTACTGTGGAGCTGTTAACCTGTACATAGCTTTGGTAACACCGGTAGTGACACGGGCCCAACAGACCGCTATCTTACATTAACTTTCTGTAAGAGTTTCAAAAATTTCTACCGCTTTGCAGGTTTTTCATACTACACCAAATTCTTCTGAAAAACCATTTTCATAAATATAGCATTAAATTGATTTCAAGTGCAAATCCTCTTAAAGTATGACTTATGCTGGTTAGAATGAAGCTTTAAAAAAAACCAACCAACCAAACCAAACATCAAAGGCTGGGCGACAGAAGTGCATGTGGCTTGCCTAGAAGACAATTCAGAGGGCTAAATGTGAGTTGAACTTCATGAATTTGCACTAATGAATGACTTGGCGACCCACAACCAACTGCTGAATTTTGTGAATCTGTGAGCAAGTGAACAAAATAATAATATTAATAAAGACAGCACATCACAAGAATGTAGTTGCTTTATTGTTTTGATAACTTTACCTGTCTCATAAGTCCATTATTTTTTTCCTGTTGGTAAGGGTTAGTAAGCAAAGAAAAAAACAAACCCAGTGGCCTTCTGTACATGTACATGAACTGTGAATTGGTTTCAAAGGACTGACTGAAAGCATGGCTCTTAAGAAAAAAAAAACACCACCACGATTTATCTGGGAATTTCAGAAATACTGCATTAATTAATACTGCATTTTCCCTTTTCCCATTTGCATTCCCCATTAATTCAGCTGTTTGCACGGGGAGGGAGGAAGACAGTGAAGAGAAGGAAGGCAGCAAAGGCTGGGTATCAGACAAGGGAAGCAGTGAGGTAACTACTTGAAGGAGCTACAGTTCATGGGTTCTGTTCATTCCTTTCTTGCTGGAAGCAACTCAGCTTCTCTAAACACTCAACGATCTTTACTTGGTACCTGGACAGCCTTCCCCTTTGTGCAGATCCTGGTTTCTGCAGTAGGAAAGGCACAGAAGCAAGGTGCCTCGGTCACGAGGCTACTAGAAGCTGTTTTGTGTATGGCAGATGTTTCTGAGGTTATGAATACTGAAAATTCAAAGAATGTCTCTGAAACACACTACGTCATCCACCCTGGGACTTTGACATATCAAATACTTCATTTTGATGCTCTACTAATAGAAAAATAAGAATTACTTTACCGTAGTGGAGAAAACCATCTTTCAACTAGTTTTGTGATCTGAGGCTAGAATTAAAGCTCTAGATTGTGTCTCAGCTGTGGATTTTTACTACTGACTTGGCACAGGCTTGGTTTGTTAGTCTAAGCAATTTATGTCCTTCTTAATCTTCCTCCTATAAATTGTAATATCCTTTTCTGTTAAACAGTAGGTATTTATATTCTATTTGTTCTAGATTGTAAGATTTTTTACTGGCAATACCATGCAGATTTGATTGCCTACCATTTTTCATTATTTGGTCTTTTTCTGTTGGGATATCTAACTTAGGCTGATTTATTTTTTCTGGTGAAAGTTCCTGCTAGAATAGCAAGAACAAAGCTTTACTTTATCTCTGTGAACAGAAGGCTATGTTCTTCTGAAATGTAGTTCCTTTCTAATGTCCTGGGAGCATGCACTCCTCTTGTCATCATAGCCCAGGGGAAGGAATGCCTATGTCCAGCAAACATTGTGCAGCCACTAAATCCTCAGAATTCACGGCCTGTCACTGTGCAAATACATATTCGTATTTCACAGAAAGCTTCTCACTGCATAAAAGGATTTTCTTGGGTGTTACCTCCTTCACCTTTTTTTTTTTTTTTTTAGCACTTTTTGCAAAGCTAAACGCTAGCATTTAAGTATATTGGAATTAAGATTGCTTGTGCAGCAAGGCACATGCCTGGTCCTGAACCTCCTTTCTTTAAAGTTATGCTACTCGTATTTCTCATTATTCCTCATACATAACTTGTAGCTGAATGGTGTAAAAAACTTAATTAAAAACCTGTGCAACCACTGTCTCAGCCTTCCTCCCCCCCCCCAGTGTATACCCTGCTTGTCCATGAGCCCTTTATTCCCATGTAAATCAACAGATGGGATCACATAGTGAAACAGATCTTCCAGTTGACACTTTGATTGAAACAACACGGAGATAGCTGGTTTAGGTTTCACTTTTATTAACAGTTTCAATAAAAGTAGTATTTGGGGTCTTTTTCCTATGCTGCTCAAACCTGAGGCACTGAATTCCCATTATCTTCTTTCTTGCTATATAGAATTAAGCAACTCCAAAGCTTCTTTCTGTACCTGAAAGAAATAAATATACTGATAATGAAACAGTGCCACTACACTAGTTTTAGGCTCTTCTAGCAGAACTTAACATGCAAGCACCCAAATGTTTCACCACAGTTATATAGATTCAGAACCCTCCTACGACTAGTCAGTTTTCTTCTATAGTTCAAGATGCTCAACACTTGAAACATGAATGGGAATAAAACCACTTAAGCCAGTGCCTTCAGTGTAATTCACTTATTTATATACAGTAAGTTTTTTTGTGTTGAACACAGGTGATTTGCTCTTGATTTGCTGTAGTCCAATAGCAGCATGTAGCAAGCTGTCCTATACCTGACCATAACCAACCAACCGAGGGTTTTCAAAACTCCTGAGCGACTAAGGAAAGAAAAGACTGTTTCTGAGACTCGCTTTGCCTAGGGATTCTGGGAAAATCTGATAAAATTTTAATATGACCTCTAACATCTATATTAAAACAAAAAACTAACAAACTTTGGGTCCTCACAGAGCAAGCAGTGCAGACAATGTAAGCCAGATCCTGCAGATACTTGGAGGTAAAGAATGTTCGGAAAACCTCCTTATGCCTACCTCTGCCAAATGCAGAGACAAGAATTCCAATTTCTTTGCACAGGCCAGTTTCCTTCTTACTGGACTAACAAGTCTAGTTCTCAATGAATTTTGCATCTTGCACATTCACCTAGGGAATGGAGAGAATACCATCTCTCTCAGTTCAGCAGCTCTGCACCCTTCTAGGAGATAAGGAAATAGATGTTTGTACCGGGAAGCCAAGCATGGCTGCAGCAGATAAGCAGTTTAACAACCTGGCTGCTGCACAGAAATCACTACTGACTTCTGTGTGTTCTGTAAAGAAAGGAAAGCTTTTGTCATCACTGGTTTCATGGGTGCCTCTAGCTACTAGCAACTGTCAGAAGAATTGATCGATTTCATACATACCTGAGACCACTACTCCTTTAGGCTATTAAATTCCTACACAAGCAGTGGAGAAACTGAACCCTTATTCATATTTCTACTGAATGATGTTACTGAAGGAGTTCACTTTTGGGAAAAACAGGTTGAGCCCTACAGAGAATCTACAGAGAGAAACCTCAGTCGTGTAGAGGTGTGAAGTGCAAAGTCCTAAAGGTGTTGAGGTGTGAAGTGCAAAGTGCAGAAGTATTTCTTACAATTAGGACATTCAGAATGTCACAACACATTAGGATGTTTTCTGTAACAGTTCAAGCATGATTTCACACTGCAGCTTAATGCTAAATGAATTAGAGGTCAATCAACCATAAGAAAAATCAATCAGAAATCAGGCTTTGTTAGTCCTGATGCTAACAGGATTGTTTATGAAAGATACCTGCAACTGCTGTGGTGCATACCGAATGCAGTATTAGGTCCAAAGATGTCTATTGGATTACCCCTCCTAGAAATACTCTGTATGTGCTTAGGTAGGAAGGAAATGCCTACCCATCCAAACCAGGATCCTTCTGAGCAACTGAAAAGGGTAATTAAAGTTCCTCATGTCACCTAGCACTGGAGTAATGGATATATTACTTCCTTCTGTCTCAATTCAGATAGTCTGAATCTCTCCCTAGGGGTTTGGAAAGGACTGCAGTGTTAAGTTTTATGGATTTATCAAGTTTTTGATACATCCATGCTTTTTTCTTCCTCCCGTTCACGTGGTTTTTAGCTCTTCTGAAGTACAATTTCTACCTTTCTGGTTTTAGGCATACGAAAAGTGAATCTGTGCTCACACAGGCATGGGTTAACTCTTGGTGCCTGCCTTCAACAACACAGTTAAGGGTGGGTTGTTGTTAAAACTACAAAAACATCAATGAAGAAGAAAGAATAACAGTTCTTTTTTATAAATGGAATATTTTGAACTATTGTGTTCAGAAGCAGTTACCAGCATACTAGAATGTTTTTTTGTGTCTGGATGTGATCCTGGAATATAGGTGCTGAGCTACAATTTCCTCTGAGTCAACTTTGTAACACATTCCACTGCCATGATATCACACATGTTGGCTGCAACCTGTGATTGTACTATTACAGTTCTTAACATCCCACCTGTTTGTCCTCTTCTGTATGTGCAGGATACTCCTTCGCTTTGCTTAACCACAGAAGAGCCATCTTTTTATTGTTTAACTTCAAGTATGTCTTCCCCAGAAAGAGCAAATTTTTGCTGTAAAAATTTGGGTCAGCTGCATAGAGACAACAGAAAAGCCTTAAATGAGAACGAGCAGCACACCATCAAAGCCATGATACGGTGTCACTACTTTAAATACTTATTTCGGAAAAGATTAATAGTATTCTGTCTTTGTATCAGAAGGAAGCCAATGTAAAAGTTTTACCTGCTAGATTTTGGTCTCATACACAGTTACATTAGCTAGCAGCTTGTTAGTTAATATACTAAATGAAACTAGATTCCTCACAAAGAGCAAAGCAGTGAGCTTTATGTGTAACAGCTTTGCTTTGCAGATTCTGTGCTTTTGTGGACCTAGTAGGTGCAACAGGCAATGCAACCAGCTTAGCAAGTATAGTCAAGAAAATAAAAGGCACATTTCCTAGCTTCGGACCACACAAATACAGATATTAGCTTAGCTTTTGCTGCACAGGAAGAAAACTTATAACTGTTTGTATGCACAACGAACTTTTTTTAAAAGAGAGATTTAAGAAGTTGCTTTTATAAAGCATGCTTTGGCTATCAATCATTATTAAAGACTAGTCTTGCCTACTGTTCATACATAGAGCACAGGCTTTCTCTGCTGCTGGATCTAAGGTCAGGATTTAAAACATACGGAAGTGTTTTGGAGACAAATTTTGAGATTAAGTCAGCTGTTCCAGTACACAACTGCATTACTTGACACCCAGGGGAAGATACACAATGAACTTACTGATATAACCATATACAAATCTTTCATAGAACACTGTCCTCTCTTGTCTTCCTTTCTCTTTCAGCTAGTCAGTTTTGCTTATGGCTTCACTCTTGGAGAAATAATAGGTCCATATTTTCTTTTACGCATGGACAATTTTACTGCCAGTTAGACTGGCACTCTGATCCAAAGAGCTTCTGCAAGAATATAGAAGTGTGCTTTTTCTGTTCTGTTTAGAACACAGAGGACTTCTGAACTTTAAGAAAGTTTAGAAAAAAGTGACGTAAAATTCCTTTTTTTTTTTTGCTTCTTCCCCTTGCATTCCAGTTGAATGCCTTGAGGAAGCATACTTTGTTACCAGTGAAGGTACAAATTTAACTTAAATACTTATTCTGAAAAAAACCTTAACGTTGCACTCTAAGTGATGATGGTAAGCGTGTAACATACTTTGAGTATCTCTGATGAAACATTCCAATGTAACAGTCTAGTGTGCTGACTAGCACAATAGGCTGATATGTTTATCAGCAGATCATACACTTCTGCGATAGTACTGACAGACAGAGGTTTATTGAAAGTCATCATTCATAAAAGATACCATTCTGTCCAAAAAAAGCTAGAAGTATTACCTTCCTCTGCCATGTGGAAGTAACGAAGAGCCTGCAAAAGATAAGGTTGTCGTCTTTAAAATGGAGAATCAACTGAACACAGTACTCAAACTGAAGCCTTACGTGCGTGCTTAACTTAGCTGAAGAAGGACTACCTGTCCATGATCTTATTTTTATTAATTCAGCATGTTACTGATGGCTCTCGTTCAATGTACAATCAGATTTGACACCTTCTCAACAAAACTAGTACTTATCCAACTATTCCCCTGCCACTTCCTCCATAAGTACAGTACCTTGTATTTGTCCCGAGCAAATTGGATCGTGTTTTTTCAGTCTTCAACTTGTCAAGATCATTTTGACTTTTATTTCTACCACCTAGCACATCTATAGTTTCCCCTGGCCAGTTCTCATATATAAATTTAATAGATTAAACAAATTTAATTATCAGGTCATTAATGTTGACAAATTCTTCAGGGAGAACTAATTCCTACAGAGCACCAGTTAGTATCCTCTTACATGAGAATAAACCTTTATGAAATCCACACACATTTTTCAACTAGTTTCCCATCCTGCACATCAGAAATTTCAGGCCATTCCTACCTCCTCACAGAATCACAGAATGTTAG